CTTAAAAGCAGAGTTTTTATTGTCCTCACTAGATGAAAGATTTTCAGTGGATTCCTGCGCGTTTGATTGTCAAGTTGCAGGATGATCCTCGATATGGACATTTACATTTATTTGCAACCACTGCCATCCCCACCGGTCTACAGATTCTCTTTAACAATGTTCACTGTCCTCTAATTTTCTGCTACTGTGTCTTTCCTAACTGTGTTTCTATATGTGGGATACCCCTCTGTTCTTTTCCTGCCTGGCTAATTATTTCTATTCCAGCTGGAGATATAGATGTGAAACTTGTATGCCCTTCACCAATTTCGCAGTTTCTCACAGTCCCTGAAAGAAATTGCACGCAGCACTGGATACATACAAAATCACCTTAAAATCCACCAATGGTTGCGTTAAAACATCATATTCTAGCCCTAAGAGGAGACTGTACAAATATTCCAAAGAGATGGTTTGTAGTTAGCAGGCAGTACAGTGCAAGCCAGCTCTTGTTTTTAAATGTTATGCCCAGAAGAGATCTTTGAAATTTTATAAACAGATGGATTCTTTTTGCTTGATTCACTAATGTTTTACAATTAACTAATTAACAGGTTTATTGCCAAAATTAGCAATAAAAAGTGTTCAGGAGCTTCGACCAAAGCAGTCTTTTGCAATTACATAGATACCAAAACAATCTGCATGATAGTTTGAGGCTAAACGTTGCTCAAATCAGAATTTCACCTGCTGTTTTCAAATAAAAGTTGACAAATACGAAAATGAACCCTGCAGATTTCCACACTCTTTCATATACACGAGTCTCTGCCTTAATTAATAATAATTACAGGTAACACAAACTATAGTTAGAAGGCCTAAATGTACCCAGATTGCTTTCAAGTGTGCAAAATTGCTTAGCGAGCACAGATCTGAAGGACTGTGAGGGACAATTTTGATGTAAAGTCCATCTGCTCTTTCTGAACATGCAGGACCTTAAATGCCCTAGTTAAACCTTTGTCCTACTGCCCCCACCCTGAGCCTGGTCAGCCTGCAGCCCTGTGAGTCCTCATGGCTTTACCCCCCCGATCCTATACCTCTCCCCCTCTCCATCACACCCCAAACTTCTGCTATAGTCAAATCTTTGTAGTTCCTTGAACACCCCACATTTTGTATCTTGCTTTGACCTGTACTCTCTTTCTCTTGGAGTAACTTCCAGGCTTTTTCATGGTTTAGTGGAGCATCATTTCTTTTGGGATATAGTCCTTAATGAACACCCTACTCCTGTCTCCAGAGACGGAGCTAGATTTTATTTTATTTTTTAAAGATTTATTTATTTATGCATACAAGAGCTGGAGTACAGGCCAGAGGTGTGGGGAGTGAGAGGATTCACCAGAGACAGAGTGGGGAGCAGAACAGGCAGATCTACTGAAATACACTACTGAGGGGAGCAGCGGGTGAGACAGGAGGGGTCTGCTGTGCCAGGTGGGTTAGCTCCCTCCACCGGGGATCGAATTCATGGCACAGTGGCTGGTGATAGCTTGATAGTGCTGAGACTTTAACACCTGTGCTACGAGGGAAGCCCCATGCTTCCCATTTAAAAATAAGACCTACTTGATGGCACAAAGGGTTAAGTCTCAACACTATGAAGCTATCAGCAACCACTGCAGCACAAGTTCAATCCCAACCAGGGAGCTGACGCACATGGCACAGCAGACCTCTCCTGTCTTGACCACTGCTCCCCTCAGCACTGTATTTCAGTCAGTCTGCCTGTTCTGCTTCCCACTCCGTCTCTGGTAAATCCTCCCCCACCCCACCACCTCTGGCCTACACCCCAGCTCTTGTACGCATAAATAAATAAAATAAATCTTTAAATGGGAAACACAACCTTTCAGCCCATGGAGCTCTGCCAATTGACTATTTCTCTATTTGTAAATAGAGATTCAGTTTAAATATTAGCTACTCCTTGGTAGCACTGTAACCCAAGACCACATAGCCATCATTCAGCTAACATTTCAATAAAGCACCTTCTATGAGGCAGAGAACCAGGACATACTAAGTGGAATCTCCTTACTTGTTTGCCTCATGCACTGAACTAGACAAAAATAGTGAACACATTGTCCTCAAATTTCTCTCTAACAAATCACAGTGACTAGCCAATTATCACAGTTTAGATAAAAATACTCTTCAGCATTTCTTAGTTGTTGATTCATTATCAATCTAAACTCAATATTCCATTTTAACTACTAGCCATTTTACATATCATTTATGAACATGTAAATGACTATAGGTAGAACTTCCACAGACAAATTTTTTTCAGAACTCTGCTTTTAAAAACTCTGTATTAATTCTAGAAGCTGGCGATATCGTCTTCCTACCATCTTTCTAATCTATTCGTTTAGAATTCTATTCTTTCACTTTCGTACTTTCCTGTAGTTAATTTTTGCATTAACATTGTCTTTGACATTGTATTAGATATAATGTTTTAATTTTTTAGCATAATGTATGGAAAATTAGGTATACAACTTCTCTACTGATAATGCTAATACTGATAATGGCAGCTTTAATGTTCAAACTCCTTGCGTATTTTATTAAAATTTATACCATTATTTCATCTTCATTTCTTCAGGGAGCTGAGCAGACACTATTCAAGCAACTTTAAAAGAAATACAAGCCTATTTAATGATCATCTTTTTTTTTTTTTTCAGTTAAATATAATCTGTTGCTGTGCCTTTCATGGAGGAAAAATGCTGCATAGAAAGAGATGTTACCCATAAGGAGTGAGGTTCATTCTACACACCATACTCATGCAGTTAATATGTAATTTTTATGCAAGCATCTCAGCCAGATGAACCCACACCAAAGATCCATAGCAGAAGCAATGGATTGCTTGTACTATGTTTTTCGTTTTTCCTTCCCAGAAGACCACATCTAAATAGATATGGGTACTCAGAGAGAACCACTCTGAAATGATCTCTACTTAATCAAATTAGTGGATTAAAGTTTTTCTGGATTGATTGCTTTATTGCATTAACTGACTCAGTTTTCTCTGAAATAGATGTGCAGGAGGGGTAACGTCTATCCTGAATTCTCTCTAAATTACCCTCTGAATTTCCTTTATAGTTTGATATGTACACTTAAAATATATTGCTCAGATATATCTATATCTATATCCACACACACACATGCACACACACACACACACACACACATATATAGTTTCATTTTGCTGCTTTCTGATCTACATGTAAATAAAACTACATGTAAATAAAAACTTTTTCTCATTTCACTTTTTTTCTCTTTGTGTGCCTGGATATAATGTATTCAAACATTTTTGTTATTCTAACACCTTTAACAGTAATCACACCACTTTACCATCTTCCCAGATATTTCAGGACCTTAAATACATTGATCTTGATCATTTTTTTCAATTTAACTTTTGCTATTTTCTATTTTAATTCTTTTCCCAATTTCCCCATCAATTAAATATTCTTATATTTTGAATAGTTGATATTAATTTTGATATAACCACATGGATCTCACTTTTTCCTCATCAATTTATCTTCAAGATTGTTCCTGTGATTTTTCCTGCTGTCTAAAGTACTCCAGGTCCTCTAGGGAGGGTCTTTGGAGGTTGAATTCCTCATCTATTATTCATCTCAGCATGTCTTTGCCCTCTTTCTTGAACAATAGTTTGCCCTTTTTTTTCTTGTAACACTGAAGGTATTATTTCAATTCTAACTGATTTTCATTGCTGCTGTTGATAAGTCATAATTTGGCCTAATTTCCATTGCTTCGTTGATAATTCATCTTTTAGATGTTTGTTGGTCTATGGTGTTTGCCAGTATTATTATGATGATTGAGGTTGTCTATTTTTATCTTATTTAATCCCTTTTGAATTCATTCTGGTTCCTGATTCTGAGAATTGGTGTCTTTAAACAATTTTGGAAAATTCTCAACAATTCTTCAGTTGAATATTACCTTTTCTCCATTTTCTGTTATCTCTGTGGCAGAGATATTACTTTGAAGATTCTAGGCACAGAATAAGAATAACTAATCTAGATTTTTTTCAATTAGATTGGAACTATATGGTCAAGTTCTGAACAAAATGGAAGGTGGTTAGAAGGAATGCCTGTCCTATCCAGATTTGGCAGATACATTAATGGTAAAACTGGTTATCAATTTTGTGTAGCCCAAGGAATGACCATCTCATGTTAAACAGTTTATGGATTTATGAACAATAGATTTTTCTGGATAGCTTTTTAGATATATGGGGGAGGAAAAATTACATGATCAGCAACAAAATAATGTGGAATAGAGGCATTTGTGTGAACATTTTGGAGTGGGTACTAAGTGCAATAAGTTTTATAAAGTATAGTAATACTCATCAAAATGCATCCTCCATGGAAGAAGTACTCACCAACTAAGTATTCAAAATGATTTGGCTGGTTAATATTGATCATCTTCTGTTATTGTCCAATTAGTGCTCACATGGTAGACACATGAATGACATGGTCATGGTGACATACATGGAGGCTATGAATGACTTCAACAATCTGGAATCACTCTCATCATGGCTGATGTTATTCAACTACCAAAGATTTGATTGATCAATCATAGATGCCAGTTATGATTTTACGATACTTCATCTGTGTTCTATCCCACTTGGCACACATGTTGGATTGCACAGTTGAAGTCAACATGAAGATTACTGCCTAAAGTACCTTTCAGGACCTCCCTGGTGGTGCAAGGGTTAAGACGTAACCTATGAAGCTGTCTGCAGCCTCTGCAGCAAGAGTTTGATTTCTAGCCAGCCAAGGAGCAACCCTCAGGCTCAGCAGATATCTCCTGACTTGCCCACTGCTCCCCTCAGCAGTGTACTTTGGTCAATCTGCCTGTTCTGTTCCCCACTCTGTCTTTGGTGAATCCTCTCCCCACCCCACATCACCTCTGGCCTGTACCCCAGCTCTTCTATGCATAAATAAATAAATATTTGAAAAAATAAACAACAAAAAAGTATCTTTCAATGCATTACCAAAAATATGGAATGCTTCATGAATTTGTGTGTTATCCTTGTGCAGGGGCCATGGTAACCTCTACTGTTCCAATTTTAGTATATGTACTGCCAAAGTAAGCACTAAAATTATGTTTTAAATAATTTATAGTAATATATAGAAGTTCTATTCTTCTTTAGGCTAATTTCCTGTGAAACAGAATCTGAGATGAAAGTTTATATGTATGTAGTTGCTTAAGAAGACAGTCTATGGAACACATTTGCAGAATATAGAAATGGAGCATGGAGAACCCAAATGCAAACGTATTTTCATGTTGTCATGGTCAGTTGGAATTCAGTCTCCACCAGAACCTTCAGAGGGCTTTAGGAAAACATATCAGGACCATTTTCCTAAGGAATGAGAAGAGGAAGCATTTATCCATTGGCTCCTGCCTTTTATTGGTCAAGTACCTTGTGGGCACAACTTTCTCTTGTGCATAGGAGTCTCATGAGTATCCCTGTTGTGGAGTGAGAGAAGCTTGCAAGTTCAAAGCAAAAAGACCAGTATGGTTTGTCCAACTGCTCTTGTAGCAGCTCATAATGCCCTGCAGGAAAATGACTCCTCTTGCAGAGGTAAGAAGGGACTGCTAAGTGATACACAAGATAGTGTCATAAAATCAAGGGGGAAATAGAAGATCTAAAGGATCTCATAGGATCCCAGTTAATTCATGCATTCAATAATGTATGACATGTTGATAAAGTCCCCCATCCTATGAAATTTTAAAAAAAAAAATCAGCAGCAACTCTTTTTTCGAGAGCATTCTTTCTAAGCTTGGAGAAGGATCTGTAGGAAGAACTGAAGGAAGAGAAAAAAAAAAACAAAGAAATAAGCAAGGGGATTAAAGGTTGTGATCAGGTGTAGCTTTGAAATGAACAAATATAGTATAAAACAAATCAACAAGACAATAATGCTTAGAAAAAAAAAAGACTAGGTAAAAATATATGAAAATGTTATCAGTGGTGGTCTCTAACTAGAAGAACTTATTCTGGGACATTTCTGTACTTTCCAAATCTCCTAAAAAGGGTGTAGGTTTCTCTCAATAAGAAGAAAACCATTCAAAAATGATTATTAAAATATTATGAGCATTTTTTATTAAAATAAGTATCATCATTATTCAATTTTTCATGAAAATTTTTTCATTATGATTTTTATTGGTAAAATTATTAAAAATTATTAAAAGCAAATGAAGTCATTTCTCCTTCCTGAGGTGGCCCCTGGACATGGCTGTACATCCCATTGTGTACTTGGTCTTCCTTTGGCATGGTTTGGGCATTGGATTCCCTCCCTACTTGTTTTTCACAGCTTTTCAGAATTCCCCAGAGGAGAAACAGATGTATGGGGCTGCGTGGGTGGGTGTGTATGAATGAACAGAAAATCCCCGAAAACAAGGACATTTCTGAAGTTGCTGTGCCCTTAACAAGAACATGGTGAGACTGTGCTCCTGAAATATAGCTTACCCCGTTCCCTCCTTGTTAACAAGGCCAGCGAGCCATGAAGTTGATTCTTTTTTGGATTTTGGTGTCTGAGTGTTTAAATTAATGGTTTGAGAGTAAAGTCTATTACTGTATGAAGCACAGCCAGCAATTGCTTAAATTCAGGAGAAGCCATGGATACTTAGTTCAGTTTTCAAGGTGCCCACTTAGTGCGGTGATTGGCAATGCAACATGGCCTCTTGTGTTCCCCATTACCAGGTGTTGCCACAAAGTCCAATAAGGGGCTGTGGTGCTGACCATCTGCCTGACACTCAGGTTCTCCAAATGGCCCCCAGTGGGGTGGCTGTGTGCAGGGCTCAAACTTCCAAGTTGCATTTAAGTAGCAGCCTGAGTGGTTTTGGCTGACCTCTAAAGAATGGCACAGGAGACCAATGCAGACATCCAGCGCCCAGCAGAGGAACCTTCCGGGACCATTCGTGCTCCTGTCCTGGATGCCACCGTAACCAATTCAGCAATTGTGTCTTTCCCCAGGATAAAATGAATACTGTGTCAGGGAAGGTACAATCATAGAGTGATGATCTGAGAATCAGTGAGAAGGAAGACGTTGACCTTGGAGAGGTTTAAGAATGCCTCACGAATAGCTATCCCGAACATAATTAAAGGCATTTTAACATCATAAGCCTTGAAGAATGCGAACCATCAGCACTGCACACTGGGGAGTAAAAGATATTGCTTTTATAGCTGCCGAGCTTATGGTCAGAAGTGATATGAAATATTAGAAATGTGACAGTTTTATAATAATTTTATTCTTGCTCATTGTGATAATTTTCATTTGCAGCTTTTTACCTTTGAATATCTTGAATTGCATTAAGTCTTTCTCCCTCCATCCTTGTCCTGTAATATTAGAAGCTGCGTTTTTAATCTCAGGAATTATAGTAAATGCTACAGGCACAAGCAAACAGATAATAGTGTTTATGATGCCTGTTATTTGAAGAATTAAAAGTTCCAAGTGAATTTATCTCCCAGTTAATAAAAGTAATAGAGCGCTGAGTGAAATATTGCCTCTTCTTTCTTTTATTATGTCACTATTTCTTCTTACTTCCTGCTCGATTAGTTGCCTTTTATTTTGGGTGTAGGAGGGAAAGAAGAACACTTCATGTCAAATAATTTACCTTACTCATTTTTTTTTTCCTTGTCTATATTTTGCTTTCAAATAACATATGTAGTCTGAGATAGAATTAACGCTGGAGATAATTTGTTTTCAATATCTCCATTTATTTAATTGCATTATTACTTTTAACTGCATTATTTATATTAAAGTAACATGGTTTACCACACAAATATGATTCAGAGATACAAGTTCACACTCTTCTGATGTATGTTACCACACCACCTCCATCACCAAAGTACCCAATTCTCAACCATAAATGATTCCATTTCTTGACAAGGAAACAAAATCACAAGTCTCAGTAGCAGCAGAAATAACACTATGTCTATGTCTCCTGACACCACAAAAACGACAGCTAACATTCCCTAAACATTTTCTAGGGGACAGGAAAAACTCTAAGTACTTCAAATGTAGTAACTCTTGTGTGTGTGTTTCAATAAAACTTTGTTTATAAAAAAAGCAGGCAGTGGGCCATCCCAATATGAGGTTTGAGCTGTAGGAATGTTGTCTGTCAACCTCTAGCTCTCTCCAACCTCAGAGTAACTATATGAGGATGACTCTGCTTTTATTGTCAATCTCATTTTATTGGAAAGTAAAGAGGCACAGCATGGCTAGATAACTTACCCAAAGTCATGTCTTTAATGATTGCCTACATTTGACTAAATAAATCTGTATGACCTTAACCCATACACTCAGTTGTGTGAATGTCTGATAATCTCTATATTCTTTTCTTTCCCTTCAACTCCTGGGGTGGAGAGAAAAGGCCTGAATTAGCATATAGAATTACACACACAAATTTATGTGCAATAAGCTTATTTTGATGATGATTTGTTAACTCTTTCTGTGACTGACAATGTTATTTAACACCATGTCTGGTGTCTTGGGGTGGGGCGTGGATATATATCTTGCCTTTGAAAAGGTTAAGATTTAGTTGTAGAGTCAAAGAAATATAAATAGGGCCTCCCCGGTGGCGCAGCGTTTGAGCGCTGGGTTGAGAAGCTGCCCGCAGCCTCTGCAGTGCCGGTTCGATCCCCGGTTGCTCCCCGGCCACCGGAGGAGGGTCCCACATGGCGCGCAGACCTCTCCTGCCGCCCGCTGCTCCCCTCAGCAGTGTACTTCGGTCCTTGTGCCTGCTCTGCTCCCCGCTCTGGCTTGGTGAATTCTCTCACCCTCCCGCGCTTCTGACTGTACCCAGTGCTTGTATAAATAAATAAATAAATCTTAAAAAAAAAAAAGAAATATAAATAAAATTAGATGAGGACTTATTGTTTTCTGTTGGAGTTGAGGGTCAAAAATCTTTAACTTATGAACCAGTGAGTATCCAAAGGCTACTTGTTTATATGTTTAAAAGTCCAGGGATAGTAGGCAAGCAATTTCTAGCAATGTATTTTGTATAAAGTTTGTTAAAGAACTATAATTATTTGGCAATTATCATTTTAAACAATTTCTTTTGCATTGTTTCTCAGATATGCTTGCATTTTCAGTTTTTTTCTTTTTTATAAAAAATAAATTGATAATAGGATGCTGCTTCAGACAGGCAATTAATTAATGAAAGACTTGATTGCCATATCTCGGGGGACCATTCCCAACCATCTGTTGATGATTGGCAGATTGTCTCACTTTGGCTCAAGTGAAAAACCTTTGTATCTGCACAAGCTTATAAATTGATGGGAGGGGATTTCTGGATTATACATTACAAGTGACACAAAGATTACAAACACATTCAAAACAGCATTGTGGAGGAACATTGGAGGGATAGAGAATTCAGTTAAGAAGACAAAGCATCATAAAATTTTAAAGATTCTGTCTGATTATTTGATGAAACCATGCAAGGCTTAGATTTTTTTCTAATAAATATAATCATTCAGGATCTGTTGTAGCTGAGCCAGGAAACAAATGGCATAGATGTGCTAGGGCATCACAGGGGAAGAGTTGCCAGCATAGTGTGTGGCAAAGTTGAATGTGTGAGAGGCCCTAAAAGATGAGTGAGACTTAAAAGATGGGTAGGGGTGAGGGGATAGAATGACCATTCCAGTTCAAAATGAAAACCAATTATCAAGTGTATCATACTTGGAAAAAACTTCAACTTCTTTCCACTGCCTCCACCTATCCCTTTTGTACTTGCTTCCAAAAAAGCAATTATTGCCATGGTTGCTAAGATCAAGCACTCCCTGAGCTTTTACTGCTGTTGTGGGTTTGCTCTCAGTCCTTAGATGTGCAGACGGTGACTTTCCCTCTCCCTGTGATTTGTCTGCATCTAATAAGCAGTTCTAGGCACCTTCTATCCTAGAGAACCACGGAGTTTTCAGCAACTATCACCATGTATTTGGGTAGGTAATTTGGCCTGGAGTCCACGCTCTGTGTTCCTTTTCATCCATTTTCTTGTTTTCTCTTTTTGTACCCATCTATCTTCCATCCCTTTGACCCATCTTCCCTGTGGGGTACTGCCCTCCCACGGTTAGGATTGCCCTGCCTGATGGGGC